CTTCAGAACGTTATTTTAGGTCCGACCTATAAAAGTATTTACATTTATTAAAGGAGGTGGGTTGAATTTCCAGAACTACCAGCTGCTGGAGTCCTACTGCAGTGTAATGGGGTTTCAGTGAGTGGGAGAGAGAGTTACAAGGTCACGACTTCTACATTTATTCCAAAATGTACCAAGGAATTACTACATACCCAACTGACATTTGACGATATGAACTGCAGGATGAAAATTAAAAAAAAAAAAAAAAAAAGCAGCAAAGACTTGTAACGTTCTTATGCATTAGCAGAATATATGCTCACATTTGCAGTATTCACACAGGAATATATATATAATTATATATTTAGTATGATTCAGAAATGTTGCATCCCAAATCCAACAGCACTGGGAAAGATAAGCTGTATATTTTAAATGTTGGAGGAAGATGAAACAGGGAAAAAAACCCACCCTTCAAAGCTGTTTCCTGGATACATGATATGAAATTTTAAAGAAAAAAGCACTCACAAAAGTGACTTCATGGAAGCTCTTAAAAGAGCAGTATGATACCTAGTTCATCATTACCATGTCTTCTGGAAGCTGGAAAGCATGCTGAGAAGCATGAAACTCTTCCAAGCTGCTCCAATATACATTCATGCAACCTTTTTATATATGCAGAAAGGGTGAGAAGTATCAAGCAGTTTTGATTTGCAACAATCAAAAAAAAAAAAAATGACCTTTTTCATGAAAATTAATGCGCATTTACCATTAATGTGGGCCAAAATCAATTCTCCACAGAATGATGTACAAAAAGGCTGAAAGGGGGGCAGACACACACAACAAAAAAAAAATAAAAGGAACAAACCTTCATGCTGCATTGCTATACACAACTTATCTACAAGCCCTGTTTTATTGCTTATTCTCAAACTTAGTCATTTCAGCAGCACTACAGGGAAAATACGAAACAGTTCTTCACAGGTAGCAATTTCAATTAAAATGAGAGGAACATGAACAACGTAAAACCTGTATGTGATCAAAGACCTGCTGGATACCTGAGTCAAACAGTTATTTCAGAGCAAGGTACAAGAGCTAGTCATGCATATGGATGACCTCTCACAAATTAAATGCTAATCAGGAATGCATCTCAGCATTAAAAATAAAACATGTGGACTATGAAGTAGATCTGCAATCCTTTTTCTAAGCAAAGACTGGCAATAAACCTTCATTATCAATTTCATACCACATGTATGTAATATTAACCGCAAATCCCGGCAATAATTTCCCATATGGAGAGTGCCAGCTATTTCCAGGCATCCCAACTTGTGTAATATCCCTGCAATCCTTCAGCAGAGCCCCTCGCTGAATGCAACCAGGAGGTCAAACCACCAGAAGTCGTAAGGAACCCCCAGCTCTGGGGATGTAAAACGAACAGTTTGACCATGAAAAAAGAGACCTTTCCCTTTCAGCCCCTTCCATACTCACCTTCCAGAAGGTATGGGAAGCACCGGACTTAAGCATCTGCTCCTGGCTGCCTCCGTGCTCTGGGACTGCCTACAGCCATCGCCTCGGCAGCCCTGGGAACCCACTTGGAATGCACAGGGAACTGCCCTGGCTTGGATAGGACAACTTCAAGTCGGGAAATGGGAGGCTGGGGAAGAGCTCGGTGCTGCCCGGAGAGGGGCAGATGAGCTGCCAGCGCCGCAGGCAGGGATCAAACGCACAGAATCTCCCTTTACATAATCGGAAATGACTCCTGTAATCTTATGTTTTCTCTTAAAGCGTCGGATGCTTCATGAACAAGCCAAAAGCTTTTCCATGCGGCATTCGGGGGATTTAGGGCTGATTCTTCTTTTAATGAAAATAAAAGAATAAAAGTCTGCCTGTCAGAATTCTTAGTTATTGTACCTCGGAAAGCTTTTCCCCACCTTGCCATAGGAAACGTCATACATGCTTAAAAGGAATTGCAGAAAATTCCCGGTTTCTTCCACAGTATTTTCTAACCCATCTCAATAGAAGGGTAATGTTTGGGGTATTTAACCTGTGTGCCCTTTACTTTCCAACAAACACATCAAAAACTATAAGCAGCTCTCTATATAGAAACCCAGCTGAGGATTACAGATTTTCCTGACAAGAAATACCTTTGTCTATCATAAGAAAACCTTAAACTTAGAAAAAAAACACAACAGTCAAACTGCACTGCTCACATTTCAGTGTCTTTTCTGCACCTCACTTCTGAAAGAGAAAAAAACCCGCACATCCGATTCTTACCAGCAATGATAAAAGCAAAATCCCATCCACGTGTTTTCCTCATCACTAAAGCACCGATTTAATCAAAATCAAGCCCATATGCTTCAAAAAACAACAAGATCATGCTGAATTTTCAACCTACCGAAGCCCAGCGAATGCTTTCTGATGCAAGAGTGCCTTTTAGCTATGCAGTTTCTCTTTGACCTTACAGAATAATCTACACGAGTTGCAGCATTACCTTTGCAGAGATTCCCAGGGCATGAACCAAAACCTAATGCATCACTCAGCCTCCATCCACACCATTCCCCCCATCAGCTTGGCGCCTTCCCCCCTTCTCCTCTCTTCCTCTCCCCCCCCCCATCCCCAGCAGCAAACCGCCAAATAAACAAGCTCAGAGCGGAAAGGGGGGGGGAAAGATCTTTTATTATCACCATCATCCTCATCCTCGTTATTCCCGCGCCGGGGATGTCGCTACTTACTTGGCTAAGGTACCATGGCCAAATCCACGGCGGTTTGGGGGTTTAGCCGGCGGAGGGCTCACCCGGCGGAGGGCTCACCCGGCGGAGGGCTCACCCGGCGGAGGGCTCAGGGCTCGGCATCAGCGCGGGGTGGGAGCGGAGCGGCAGGCGCGGAGCCCCTCTGCAGACTGAACCACCGCGGGGGCCGGGGAGGGAGCGCGGCGCGGCCGCAGCATCCCCGCACCGCCGCTGCCCCCACCGCCCCGAGCCTATGGCACGGCCCCGAGCCTATGGCACGGCACGGCACGGCACGGCACGGCACGGCACGGCCCCACGCGGCACCGGCAGGGAGAGCGCGGGGGAGCCTTCTCCGCCAGGGGGGAAAAACGGACTGAACCACCATGTTGTTTTGTTTTTGCGATTTTAATGCTTCCCCTGGGATAATGACAAAAACGGAAGATGGCAAACGACCAGGAATATGCCACTTGGCTCGGGAGCGGGAGAAACCTTCAAGGACAAGGGCTGTCAAGTCCCATCACCGTCGTTTGGGGAGGGAGGGAGGGGAGATGAAAGGTTGGATAGGAAGAGGGGCCTGGGGAACGAGGGGATCGGCGCATCCCTGCACCGCCCCCCCACCCCCCCCAGCAGGCGCAGGATGCGGCGGGGGCTTAAACCCCGCAGTGCCCGATCACTGATCCCACCCTGACAGCAACGGCAACATGTCCGTGCTGCAAATTGCTTCATAATCACCTTCTGCAAAGATAACAGCTTGCTCTGCCCTCCCTTGCTCGCTTTCTCTTCATGTAAGAACAATGTTGATTCTAAAGAAAATAGCAGAAAAAAAAAATCCTTGCAGGGCTGTGGCGTTTGTGCTGTGTCTGTGTGCCTGCCATGCCTTCCAGAAATCCAAAACCATACAGGGGGAACACACTAAATAGCCCCCTCTTTATCTGGTCACATCAGCATACACTGTAAAACCATACAAACATCACAAACATGCCAGAGCAATTCTCTGCTCTTCTCTTCCTTTTTCCTTCCAGCCTTACACTTCGAGGAATCACTGCATTTTATTTAGAGCTCCTTACCACCTAATTCTGAGTTATGTATGTACCTGTCATTTTGAGTTCTTACCAGATCCAGAACTCAGAAATGTAAAAGGCTATTTCAATGGAATACCATGTTATGGCACTGCAAAATAAACCCAAGTCTTAAAAATATGACAGAAACATCAGCATAAAAAGCACAACATTTTCTGTGTATTATTTTCGTTCTTTCAAAGCAAACTGAGATCAGTACATGTACCACGTCCAAACCTCAACTTCCAACTCATTCCCTCAAACCATTCAGTCCTGACAGTGACTAAACACGGGAAAATACCACAGTTTTGGTAAAGAATGTATAAAACGGTACAGATAAAAGTTGGGATCTGTTCTGTAGCATCCTAAGACAGCAGTGGCTCCTGACTTCACTCTGCCTTGGACAGTGGGCAGTTGCAAGTGAGCACACCTCCCTGAGCAATAAGAGGAGTAGCTGTGCTGATGCTCTGTCATCCTGCCTTACTCGCTGCTCAGAATATCAATTCAGCCAGTTAAACCAAAAGTCTGCACTGCACCAAAATGGAAGCTATTAAAAAAAAAAAAAAAAAAAAAAAAAAAAAAAAAAAAAAAAAAAAAAAAAAAAAAAAAAAAAAAAAAAAAAAAAAAAAAAAAAAAAAAAAAAAAAAAAAAAAAAAAGAGGAAAGGAAAAAAAAAAGAGAGAGAGAGAGAGCTAGGGCCATTGATCAGGAATTTTATCTATGCTGATCAATTTATTTTTAATGAAGGAAAATGTAAATTTGGACTAGGATCAATGCAGATTTTTCTCATGTGAAACTGCCTTTACCATTAGGAAGCTACAGGCAATTACATGCATGCCAGGACAGTGGATGCAGTGACTTTGGGTTATATTAAGCAGAGAGACGTGTCCCCTCTTCTTTAGCAAGCCTCCAGTACAAGCTGCAGCTGCAAGGAGTGTGCAGTGCAGCTCAGACTGAATTCTAGCATTGAACAAAACAGTAATAGAGCAAAAAAAAGTGCTCTATTTAAATGTCTTGTGCTTAGGTCCCAGACCAACAAATGTTGGTGACCTCTACTGCTCTGTCAGAAAAGCAGGAAGATACTGAAATAACCTGCAATTATCTGGCTACTGAAATTATTTTTTTTTTTTTGCTACAAATTTTAAAGATAATTTGAAAAGCAGTAAGAGGTTGATTGACACAATACCAAAATGCATTAGAGATGATTTTTTTCTTTACACTATCTTTCCTAGGAGAAGAGAGGAATAATTTAAAGAAATGAAACAGAGCATATAAACTTTTTCCATACATTTGGCTGTTGCCAGTTTGAGGAGAGCTGTTCTGAAAGGCTGTGTGCCACTACAGAAACTTCAGACCAGATACAGAACCCTACTCCCTACACCAGAAAATAGTCTAATTCTTATTTTTGATTAACAGAATAGGCAAAGGAATGAGAAAAGGAGAATAATAATAATAATAATAATAAAAGTTCTAAAGGAAATTAAAATCTTAGTTTGAACATAATATTATACACAAAATCCACTCAATTTTTTGCATGGATATTCCCAGTACTTATTTAACATAGGCCTCTAACCCACCAGAGTATACAGGGAGATGAACAAACCATGAACCTTTCTACTCATTCTGGCTCATCTGTTTGGAGCCTGCTCACAGCGTTGTGTGTATTTTTACTGCCCCAGGGTTGGTTCTAAGTCCATCCCAACGCCTTCTGGTCCAACCTCCCTCAAGCAGGGCCATCCTAGAGGACACCAGCACTGCTGCAGGTAAACACCAGGAACTTCTCCAGTTGCTGCAATAAGGATGAGGTTCCAGCTGCAGGGCTTGGTCTGTGCTCCCTATCCTCAAAATTACAAGACCACTATACCAGGGAACACCTGCTATCCAGATAGATGCCCCAGTACCTTACAAGCAAAGCTAAAAATAGCAATTCCACCCCCAAAAATGGACCAGCCAGCAAATAATACCAATACTAACATTCTGAGCTCAGAACTTAAAGGGGTTGGGGTTTTTTCTTGATTATTGTTTTTGGAATATAACTGGGAAAAAGAATAATATTTTCCAACTCACTTGGCTTTCAGCAGGTGCAACTCAAAATGGCTGCAGTGGTGGCTGATGCTTTTTCTAGATATTTCATCATCAGATTTAATAGCAAAGCACTGCAAAGCAACAAACCATCTGAACAGTGCCTGTCCTGAAATGAGTGTTTGTCAGTGCATCTTCATGCCCACTAAAGCATCCAGCCTCATAATATTTAGCTTTGACAGGAGAACAATTTAACACCTTAACTGGGGGGCAAGGAGTGGAAATGGAGCAGAAAAATGGAATGGAAAATAGAAAGATGCTCCTTGGGACTAAGTTTAAAAAACATAACAATGCTTACAGGATGTGAAAGGAATGAGACCTGAGCTGTTGAGCTTGAACTTCAACTTGAAAAAATTGCTTCTCCAGTAAAAACTCAACTGACAATTCACATTCAGAGGCAATAGAAAGAGCCTACCTAATTTCTTCGGAGAAAAATTGAATCCCGTATGTGCTGGTGATAGACATCATAAGCACATTTCAAGGTCTTCATGAGATAATTAATGACAGGAAACAAAAGAACATAATTTTAATTCCTCTTTCAGGATCTTGGGGACCAAGACCTCCTTTTTGGTGAGGTTGTCCAATCAGAGGAATGGCACTGGAAAGCAGTAGCAGATTTCTAATACTTTCCTCATCACAACCCAGATACTTAAACTAGAACAGCAGACTGGCAGCCTTTCATATTTTTAAATCTCATTTGCTACATTTTAAAAACAAGAATTAAATCTGTTTTCAGCCTGGGTGTTTCTCCAGTTTGGTAACATCGTGCAGTAATATTTCTGCAACGAAACAGCTTGCCTTTCCCAACCCTGCAAACATGTTGTTATCCTGGGAAGCAACATGACCTAATAAAAGAAGTGGAGGAGAGGGACCTCAGAACACTCAAATTCAAGGACTTGCCCTGCTGCTTCTTGCCTGTGAGATGTTATTAGGTCACTTGATCCCACTGTGCTTCAATTTCC